GGAGATGAAGGGTGGGGGGCAGGTAATAGGGGACATCTGTAATACTGTCAACACTAAAAATAAATAAGTAAATTAAATATAATTAAAATGTTCTTATAAAAAAGAGAGGGGCATGTTATTATCTAGAATTAAATTAAAGGAGGGTAACACCACTGGATAATTAAGTAAACATTGATTTTTTTTAGAGTCTTTTTAAAAATAATTTTAGCATCATGGAATTCTTAGAAAACTAAGTTTTCAAATTAAATTACTCCACTCGAAGTCTCTAAACTTTAGCTGAAGATCACAACACATTCATTTTAAGACTTTTCTTTTTTGATTACATCTCAATTGTCTGGAGATGATGACTTTATTCATTCCATGCACCAGGAAGAGGGATTGGGGCTTTTCTGAAGCATAACTAAAAGGGAGACAATGGGCACATGAGTGACGGGTCTGGAGGCAGGAAACTTGTATTTTAAGGTTGGCTTTACCATTTACTGTAACTTTAGAAAAGGTGATGATCTAAACCTCTCAACCCTGTGAACAAAGTTGCAAAATAATACCTACCTATCTGGTAAGCTTGCTGGGGGATTCATTATAAAAAGTGTAAATCAGGAGCCAACATCTGGCATAAAGGACAGGCTGGCTACAGCATACTTGCTGATCGTAAGGGCCCGGCTCTCTCCGTCAACATCTTTGGGCCACAGCACCACTGGACAAGTTCTCATCGCTGCTGCCAAGGTCCTTTAGTTTTTTTAGAAAGAGCCATGGACTCCTCATAACGTTTGTGCAAGTGATGTCCAAACTTCCTCCCTCCCCGCGAATGCCAAATGTTAGATGCAGTGGACATTTGTAAAGCCTACATTTCTGACTGTAGCAGTTAATGCAACAAGGCGAGTGTTTCTGCTATCACCTCAGACTATTCTAAAGTGGTCCAGCTACCAGGGTCATCATCCAAGAAGATGTAAGTTTTTATTGCAAAAGTGACACCATCTCTGGAAATAAGACAGAGATCTAGAGGGGGAATAGGTGTGAAAGAGACATTAACAACACTGGTAACATGAAAGCAACACGTTTGACACAACGCATAGTGTTTGAAATACTCAACATCTTCACAGATTAGCAGAAATTAAGTGTATGTACATATAGTGTTATGGTAAAATCTATCCTCAGCCACTTTTAACTTCCTGCAGAATAACATAATCACATTGGGTTAGTTTGGGATCACAGTTATATAAAAATCTATAATCCAAGTACAAAACACGAGCCAGGTTATTTTGGTTATTTCAAGGGTGATCTGGAAGTCTGACCATTGTGGGGATCTGATAGAGTATAAAACAAAAAGCAAAATAGCCTAGCAGCTATTTTTAGATATTTTTCTTTGTGTCCTCATATCATTAGACTTTTTTTTTTTTTTTTTTCTGAAATGGTTTCACCTCATTAAATCTTAGGAATTTTGCCAGGATGCAAAATAAAAGTATTTTCTCATAAGTGTTCATTCAGGCACAATTCTTTTGTCTCAAAAGCTTTGTGTGAATATTGCTTGTTCTCAGGCTTTAATTTTGATCCAAAATAAGCCAACTAGGGATTTAAAATACAACTGCAAGAAATGCCCCCAATTGGAGAAACACAGGTTCAGATGACTGAAACTAAGCCTGAGTGATCCAACAGGCAAAGATGAATTCCTGTCACTCGTGTTCCAAAGCTTACACCAGTGAATTATAGCAACAATATTACAAAGTCAGTATTACACCTTTGTCAATTTCTTATACTTAACAAAATATTTGTTCATTTTTATATGTATTTATTGATTTCAGAGAGAGGAGGGGAGAGGGAGAGAGAGAGAGAAACATCAATGAAGAGAAAGAATCATTGATCAGCTGCCTCCTGCACGGCCCCTGGGGATCTAGCCCACAACCCAGGCATGGGAATCATACCATGACCTCCAGGTTCATGGGTCAACGCTCAACCACTTAGTCACACTGGCCGGGCTGTTCAACTTTTTTAAAGCAATCTATACAACAAAATTTGATTTGTGTATCCTATTACTTAAACTTTTTCCATGTGGTTTTAATGCTATATTTTTCCTAATTTTAAATAAAATGCATATTTAATGTAGAGCACAGTTTCTCAGCCTTGGCATTATTAATACTTGGGCTAGATATTTGTTGTATTGGGGGAGTGTGGCTATCTTGGTCACTGCAGGCTGTTTAGCAGCATCCCTGCCCCTTAACCATGAGGTACCAGTAGCAACCTCCCTCAAGATGTGGCAAATAGAAATGTCACCAAGTATTGCCAAATGTCTCCTCAGGGGGAAAGAAATCACCTTTTTGAGTACTGATCAGAGTTATCAGGAAATACAACAAGACAAATGAATCAAAATATCCCATAACATGGGCTACTAACAATGACAGATTTTTCTTCACAGGTGTTTTATTATATTGAGATAACATTGTACATTCAAATTTATATCCATTTTTGTGTAACATTTATTAAGAATATTTTACAATTGTATTAATGTTTTGTCAGAATATTTAATGGCTAATATCCTTTTCTGTAGATTTATCATCACTTAGTTTTCCCTTCATATGTCTATGCTTTTGCATTGTTTATAATATTTTGCTGTAACAAACAATTCATACAGAAATGTCTAAGTATTTTCTTATAAATACAGAATATAAGTTAGGAGGGTGATCACTGGGAATAAGCACGATACCCAATATAAGAAACTAATTTCCTGTGACAATAACTGGTTATAACCAGGCTTTGAACAGATGAAGTAGGTCAGAAGGACAAGTTTATATACAAAGATCAACTGGTGCCTGGCCGGTGTGGCTCAGCAGTTGAGCAAGGATTAAGGCTTGAATCCTGGTCAGGGCACATGCCCAGATTGTGCACTTGATCCTCAGTGGGGGGTGTGCAGGAAGCAGCTTATCAATGACTCTCTCTTATCACTGATGTTTCTATTCTCTCTCCCTCTCCCTTCCTCTCTCTGAAATCAATAGA